TCACCGCCCTCGAAAGCCGTATGGAGCTAAAAAGAGTTCATGTTTGTGCTGACATGAAATTGTGAGGCTGCTTTTACACTGCCAGCGCAAGCATCTCAAGTGCACGTACCGCGCTGACCTTATGAGCAGAGCGAGAGAACCACTCTGCTGGCATCCTTTTCACCTCCTCAAAAGAAGAGGCATACAGATGAGGCAAGTACTATGGTCCTATGCTATCATTAATGTCTCCGCCCATCGAGTGATTGCGGAATGTGTCTTTAAAGTGCTTGCATTTGGTAGTGCACATAAAGTTGGTGCTCCTTTTCAATTAATACATACAGGACACTGAAGTGTAAAACGGAGTTACGAATAAAACGCTGACGTCATCTACAATCCGACTAAACACGTGTGGACGCTTCTTTCGTTTCTTTTTGTCCTTCGAGTAGGTCCAATCGGGAGGCGGTGGTGGTTCAGGTATTACATCCATCTGAGCAGCATTGTCATTGTAATCGATTGCTGTCATCATTTCCAGTTTGTCCTGAAATGCCATGAATGAGACTAAATCTCCTCAAACATTGAATCTTAACCAACAGGCACGTCATCGACTAGCTGAAGGGGCCCTTTGGAGTGGATTTAGTTCATGTTAAAAACATATGGCCAAGCGTTGCGCTACCCAGGTGTTAACACCAAAAGTACACATGAAATCCCTGAGATGCGGTGGGCGTGGCTGCGTACTTCAGCTGAACGTTGCGGTGACTGCACTCTTAGTGAGGTATTCCCATTTTAAGACAACTGTGGTCACGTCTTTGTCCAATACAGAACAAGATGACAGTTGTCTCGAGTTGAAATATCCCACGAGTAACCCACTTTATGCCATGTCCAAATGCCACGCCTACTCCGCCTCAGGGATAAGGGGTGTACTTCCTGTGAAGCCCTGCTTAGCTCGGTAATACATTGAGGCTGAAATCGTCATACGGATATCGTTGGTAGCCTAGGAGAGCCCCGGGATGAGCGAACCACTTATTATATGTGAAAAGTTGGAATATGTGGTGTGAATTAACCCGCAGTCCTCTCTTTGCCTGAAAATGAACTGAACAATCACTTTATGGGCCCTGGTCTTTGCCGTGTAAAAAAAGGATCCGTAGCAGCAATAGCGCGCCACTTTCTCCGGATAAAAGTGCTCGGGAACGGCGCTGGAACTGGAGTGGAACGGGATGCGATGGGCGGATGCCGTTTCCATACTCCGCCCAAGATGCCACACGGCCAGCCAGCCGCCTTATCATAGCCAGCGCTCTACTTTTCCGCGCTCTCTGACTTCTGGTTGTTATTTGTTGAGTACAGATTTCTCTTCGCTTTCGACCTTGGCATCGACGAAGCTGCACCTTGAGAATAGCGCGGCCCAGTATGGAGACGGCAGTCGGGTACTCTACCCTACAGCTCGATTCTCGAGCAGTTTTGGGTGGAGAAAAGCTACTGCAGCTGCGACCAATTCGTCTCGCACATGGCGAGGACCGTCTGTACGTTCAGTGTTTGTCTATGAAGATCGCCGGCTACTACAGCGCTGATCCCCTTTTTCCACGGTTAAAATTAGCAGTTGTTTGGTGTCGACCTTCCCCCTCCCCTCCAATCCACGGCAACCTCTAAGAAAAATTGGGAAATTCTCTGGAAAACTGAGGAAAGTAGTAGGGGGTCCGAAGAAAGTTGGAAGGCAGCAGGTAGGATGAGGGAAGGAGGTCGCACTGGAGGGAGAAATTCGGGGATGGCTCGCCGCCATTTCTCCGCACTCCAGTACTGCACCCTGATTGGACGGCAGTTTGGACAGCTGAAATTGCCACTATATTTCTTTTCGTT